AATTAATCATGAAATGCCAATCCAACAACAAAGAGAAATAGGGGAATTCCATCCATCTTACCCAGGGTCTGAATAAATTGCCAGGTTTTCAAGGATTTCCAAAACATTATCAGGGATATTTTATTAGGTAAAAGGTAACTTAGATAAACATAATAAATTTAGTGAAAAGTCCAGAGTCAAATCAAACATACTTCTTGGCATACAGGAAGTCTGTGGTTACAGGAAGTAGACGAAAACTGTTCCTAGCCTCCCTGTGCCTGTATATATATTTCTAGTATACCATTGCTTCCTAGAGCCCTTAGTACCTTATAGACTACTTTATTGTGACTGTTGCATTTTCCAACAATATTTACAACTTCCAAAATTCAAAGTGTTCAGAGTAAATGCTTTTTTCCCACACAAAAGAGACAGTGTGGTTTACTAATAAAAGTGTTAGATTAACATTAGGGAAACTCAATTACAGTCTACTTTCAATCATGGAAGCTTACTGGTTGACGTTAGGATACTTACTCATTCTTAGCCCAATCTATCCAACTTTCTTGCTGTGGGGAAAAATCAGAGGATTTAGCGGTATGAATGGTATTTTGAGCCCCTAGAGGATAGGTGGCATGTAAATTGAACTAAATAAATTAAAATTAAGTAATCCCTATTATGCATCATAGCACTCTAATGCATTGTAGTCAATTAAATAAAAAGTATAAAACGGTTACTTTTTTTAATCTATTTTGTGTGTAAGCTTTATAAATATATATGTCTGCTATTAAGGAAGATGAGTAAGTTATCACAGGATTATGCAGAAGGAAAAAGAGACCAGGTTTAAATTTATTTTTCAACTCTCCCTGAACCTATTAAATTAAACTATATTAATTGCTTAGTTGCTGAAAATAAAAAACAAAGGTAGCTCTTTTATCCTTCTGTTCTTCATAGTAATCACTAAAGAAGCAAGCTGCAAAGTCCTTCCTCAACCTTTTGTCCTGTGCTAAAAGCATTTTCCTGAGGGACAAACAGTTCTTCCAGGAGATCCATGCTTATAGCAATTACTCAAAGTAAACAGAGCTACAGCACGTAGGTATGAAATATGGTAAACAGAAATTCAGAGATGACTTGAATGAATAAAGATTAAGGCTATGTTTTATTATTTATATTTAATTTAAATATTTTCCTTTCAACATCTTATTGTTGTGTGAATGCAGCAAATTAGCTACTATTATAATGTTTCTTATGAATAACATCAAATCTATTTAGCATTATATATAAACATATACTCCAAGTGCTAAAGTTTACTGGATGAGATCATTATATTTATTCTTTATCCACTGAATGTCCCAGTGTTCAGAAAGCTACAGTAGATATTTGAACAACCTCTAATGAAGTTGTAGCAGTCTCTGTGATGGAATATAGTAAAGAGGTGAATTCCCAGGAAGGAGGGGTACATTCCAGTGGAGTAAGAGGCAATTCAGTCCAGATGTTAGTTGTGAAAGAAAAAAAGTGAAAACAGCCCTTCCCTAATAGTTCACAGAATATATTATAGATGCAGATAGTAAAGTGCTCAGTCTGGCAAGATTTTGTCTATACAGTAGATGTGAAACAATAAAGAACTCAGCTTAGAAGAATCACCATGTGTCATTCTTGGTTTTGGGCCTGACAGTCTCTGTTTTAAAGTACGGTATTCTGAAAAAATAAAGATGCCATGCTGGTAAAATAATTTCACTTTTACCCAAGCACCCTAGAGTTTGTAAATTAAACTGACCCAGCTGCAATGAAAGATGTATTAAAATGTGCATATCTGGGGGAATGGCAGATTTTCCTATAGCAAATGTATAATATAGTATATAGGGAAGCATTTATTTTCATATATCACCTTTACCCATAGCAGAAACGTTTAGGGAATAACAGAAATTATCAAAAAGAGATATTTTTCCTATAATCACAGTGCAATCCCTGAGAGAGAAAGTCAAGTTGGAATCAGAGCTAAAGATAGTAATATGTTATCTATCTATAGGCACAAGGGCTTTAATCAAATGATTTATAAAATATGGCAGAAATGGCTGGGGTACAACATGTTCCTATGTACTATTTTAACAGCAACTACTGCCACAAGAATATTTTATTTATTATTTAAGGGATAGAATCCTAATGGACTCAACAATATCATCTACAATAGTCTATAATCATATTTCCAAACAATTAACATCAATATAAGCAATAATAGCCTTTACTTCAATTTGTTGTTTGAGGAGATTGTCATTCATGAAAAACTCATAAGCAATGTAATGGCATCATGAGTCTCTAGACTATAAGATTTTTGTTACATTTTTAATTTCATAACTGTAGAAAAAATGATTATATTTCAGAACCTGCAAATCACAAATCCCACATTGAATGTTAAGAATTACCAGAATCAGGATGCTTTAATTGCTCTGTTGGGTGTTTTATTATTCTGTTGTTTTACTGTAATTACTCTGCAGATCAGAGAGAGTTAGTTTATTTTTAATTATATCAAAAACTCCTTCCAAATATCAGGAACATTTGGGAAATTGCCTGTCCCACAAAGGAGAAGGTGCAGATGTTGGTTTTGAAAAGCAAATATAGACATTATTCTATTAACAAACTTTCAAATTGCAAACTTTTGCCAGTATGAACAAACCTATCCACACCCAGAAGTTGGGAGAAGGCAGGAAGGGCCCAGCTTCCCTTGCACCTCATGAGCCCAAAATGAAAGCCCTCCTGCTCCCTCCTGCCCCAGGACCCTTTAGGCTGGAGTTGCAGACAGGTGCTGCACACTGGCAGCCTCACAGCAAAATCTTGCTTACTTGTTGAACTTGCAAACAAAGTAGACTTACAAATACTGTCTCAGTATGTAACCATTCATAAATAGGGGACTTCCTATAGTAGATCTTTTTGAGAGCCAGTTTGGTGTAGTGGTTAAGGCATCAAATTAGAAACTGGCAGACAGTAAGTTCTAGTCCTACGTTAGGCATGAAACCAGTTAGATAATCTTCTGCCAGTCACTTTCTCTTAGCCCCAGGAAGAAGGAAATGGCAAATCACTTCTGAAAAACTTTGCCAAGAAAACTGCAGGGACTAGTTTAGGCAGTTGACAGGAGTCAAAAACTAACTCAAAAACATAATCAAAGAAACTCTTTTTTACAATAATTAGGATTTATTAATTGCATTTAATGAAAAAACATTTATGGATGCATTAATAATATCCCTATTGTTTCCTAAAATGCATTATTAAGAATGTTTCAGAATTAAATCTCAGTGAGTTCAGTGGGGCTTTCTAGTAAAAAAAAAAAAAGTATATAAAAAGGCAGTTTAATGGCACCCCACTCATTCATTGGGATGCCATTAAACTCAATCGGCTGTTAGGATATATGTATAAGATATTCCCATTAAAGTCCAAAAACGGAAAGATTCACAAAGTATAAAGAAAAGCCAAATGGAAAATTTTAACCGAAATGACAATTTCTCAGCATTCTATATGTATTCAGATTTGAAATCCTGAGAGAATTCTTAATTATTTTTCTGAATCTTAATAAGTTCCCCTATATACCTTTAAAATGTTACGCTCGGTTCTATTTTGCAGGGCATGTCTTTTTTTGCTATTCTGTTACACATTTCTGAAAATCAGAATGTGATTTTTAGAATGCCGGTATAGGGCAGAGATCTCCAGTTTTCTTATTCCTAAAATCAAAACTCTTTTTAATCATTAGAAGTCATCCACGGTTTTAATGGTTTTGCACTATTTAACATACATTGCAAATGCCTCTTTATTCATTTCTGGTACTGTAATGCATTTAAATGCATTCAGTTCATTTACTGGTTGTAATTACAGAAAACCCTTAGATTACTCTCCCTTACCATCCTAAGTCCTTGTATAATAAAACAAACAAAAATATCTAGTTAAACAGTCACTGAAATGTTTCACCAACAATATAGTCTGTTAACACATATATTCAGGTAGTTTTTGAATTTAAGAAGGAATGTATGAGACAAAACTATATTCCATCAACACTGGCTTCCTGATGAAAGAAACACATTTCATTTTATAGAGTAAAGAAAAAAGATGCACTAAAGAACTGTAATAATGAGCCATCATAGAGATATAGCAAGACATATAATGTTAAATCTTCATCTCTTACTCAGAGCCTGAATAAACTAGGCACAGAACTATTCAAATCACCAAAGTAGATCCCCCAAATGATCTACAAGATGATGATGATAAAAGTACTGTAGCAAGAAACAGATCACACCAAGATAAAATCAACAATCCACTTAACTCTTCTGACACTGTACTAATTGTTTTTTGTTTGTTTGTTTATTTGTTTGAGAATAGTATTTAGCAATAGCACTTAGATGTATATACTGCTTCATAGTGCTTTATAGCACTCTCTAAGCCAGGGTGTCAAACTCGCCATGTCACGTGACGTGTCACGATGTATCGCGACTCTTTTTGCATTGCCAGCAATGAGGTGGCCACGGTTTCGGTATGATGAAACCGGCCCGCAGGCCAGCAGTTTGACACTCCTGCTCTAAACTGTTTACAGAGGCATGAACTGTTACTATTTGAAAGAGGGATTAGGGGAATTTTTGTAAATGAAAATGGAGATATAAATACTAAATGGTTAATTTTATAACCCTTGCTAGACTTTTGATGATTATTAAGATATGCTGAAGATTTAGAGATGGACCTATAGAAAATTGGATGAGATTTGAAATGAAGAACTATTTGGTTGACTTTTAAGAGACAGTGTTAAGTTGTCTTCACTTGTTGGAGATGAACACGTTATTATATTAGTTTTACTTGTTTAATATAATCCTCAATAAAATTATTGAAAAAGGACTATTAGTTATAGTGTGTGGGTACAGTTAAAATATAATACAAACTTATACAAAACATTAGTACATTTACTGGAAAAAAATGCCTTTTATACTCTGGAATACAATATCACAAGTAATATAAAAGAGCATATTGGATGCATTCAATGTCAAACGTACCTGGAGAAGTAATTCTTTTTCAACAACTTCTTCGGTCTTGCTAATAAGTCGTTTCTGAAGTGCATGTATCTTCTGTATCAACTCATAAGTACTTGGGTCACTGGCCTATACAAGAGGAATATTTTCCTTGATTAGTTGTAACTTCTATGACTTTCTGTATACAGTATAGTATTGGTGTAGATACTTTCCACACCAATATAATAAAACCTGTTAAAGAATAATGAAACTTTAATTGTGTTAGTTATGATTTGTCATAAGAAAGATTGGGCAAAAAAGACAAGTTTGTATAGGTAGTTGGTGATAGTTCATATGAAATTTCTACTTCTTAGGTTACTAACTTGGACTATCAGGTCTAAATTGCCCCCACAAAAAGCAATTGTGAAGTCTTCATATGGAATATATTTAAAGCTTGAGCAGAAAAATACTGAGGGTGAGAACAGACTGTTGGAAGATCCATTTTTCAAATGTCTTATATTCTTCTTTTTTTAACCAGTTATCAATTTATGGGTATTTTGGAATTAATTATACCTCCAATTTTCTCCATCTGTGAACATTCATTGGATTTTCCAGCTCTTCTTCCAAGGCTCTACAGCGTGTGCGTTCCTTCAATAACTCCTTCTGCATATGATAAACTTCCTGCCTTCAAAAACAGATTCAATATAAGTGTCATGAACTCAGTTAATGAGCTCATATTTAAAAATATGTTTAGCTCTCTCCTCTCCTAAAAAATATTTGTACAACCATCGTTGACTCTCATGTTTTCTGGAATATTTTTACTAATCTTGATATATTTTGTAGAAGTTTCAATTACTGAAATAAAAAAAAATTCACCAATTATTATAAATGAGTTTTATTATATTATTTTCAGATCCTCTAATTTACTCCTTGCCAAATATTATAGTAAATGTCATTATATAAATAAAATTGACCACATCTTCTCTCAAGAGAAAAGTAGAGAATCTGAAAATAGTATAATGGTATAATAAAACTCCTCCAACTCTGTAATTCTGTTATTCTATTATATATATGTGTTTTCTAAATTAAGCAATGGGATATCAGTACTCTGATTTCAAAAACAAATGAAATACAAAACAGTAAAAGAAAACATATTGAAATATGCAAATATTACTTAGAATTTTGTAGTAAAATAGCTATGCTCATAGGGTAGATCTCAAACTTTCTTTCCAAATGTTCCTTAGCCCCACTTTTTACTTTGCGTAGTGACTTGGTAGTTTTTGTTGCCACCAATTATCTTCCAGGAAGCACTTTACCTGCTATTCTCCCTTTAACCCTGGCTTCTGTGGGACAGGGGGGTCTCACCATTTGTCTTACATTTCTGATAATTAAATCTTACAATGGAAACAATGCTGCCTCCTGGTCACATAATTATCTAGGTGTGTAACTAGAAGTTTCAGCCCTTTTTTCTTTGGAAGCAGACTAAAATCACCCAGGTTAAAAAAAAAACTATTTTTTTTAAAAAAATAATACAACCATAGCCATACTTATAAATGAGAAATTGTAAAATACACATATATTCAGCATTGTAATTACAGAATTATCTTGATTAAGGTCAGCAGTAAACAGAAAATTCACAAGAAAATATATATGAAATGCTTTAGTTAGACCACAAAATGCCATTGGTCTACCATCAATAAAAAGTTATTGATTAAAAAGGAAATCAGAAAATGTAACAAGAAATAGGAATCTGATAGAATTCAAAGTGATCACAAAAAGATTAATTAATATTTTCTTGTACAGAGACTGAAATTTGATTCAAGGATGACATAAAATCTATTTTTCTAGATCTATCCAGATAAATTAAACTGTAGACTTAACATAATTACTTTAATTCAGGGGTTCTCAACCTATGGGTCGCGACCCCATTTGGGGTCGATCGACCATTTCATGGGGGTCGCCAAGCAAGGCTGTCCGCCATTTTTTTTCCCTTTTCCGTCGGGTGCCTTACCTCCCTTGAGCTGGGCCAGCTGGTGGTTGGCCTGCTCAGTCTCTGCCGCTTGCCAGCTACGCCTCGGCCGGCGCAGGGGGCGGAACCACGCATGCGCGATGCTCCTGGGCAGGGAAAGTCCTCGACTTACGACCGGTTGGGTAGTCCTCGACTTACGACCGGTTTAGTCCTCGACTTACGACCGGTTTAGTCCTTGACTTACAACCGGTTTAGTCCTCGACTTACGACCGGTTGGGGTCGCAGCATTAAAAAGGTTGAGAACCACTGCTTTAATTAATAGTAATTAAAGATCTAATTCCTCTGGTCAGAATAATGGGCTTTCTGAAGCAAAAGGTTCATTTGCTTTCCTTACTGATTTTCCCTTTTGCCTGGAAACTCATACCTTTCATCTTAGCCTGTAAAGAGAAGGTGTTTTGTGTGTATACTATAGCTGATATGATAATACAAAATCTTTGTCGTGTGTGAAAAGAAACAATCCCTGGCATTATGCCTGGACTTACTAGGTAAGTACACACACTTTTTCTACCTTAGTTCTTCCACATTAGCCACACTCTTGCCAAGTATTGCCTTCTCCCGCCGAAGTTTTTTTATCTCCAACTTGAGTAATCGGATGTCTTCAATTCTTTGTCGATACTGCATTTCTCCTTTGTTGAGAATTGATTGCTGAATTTTTATCTTCTCATACAGAAGAGCCAATTCATCATTGCGACGAACTAACTGGCTCCCAAGAATGTCTCTTTCACTAATAACCTGCAAATAATACCAGCCAAGACATAATTTTACTATTCGTAACATCTTCAGTGGCAAAAATGTAAAGCTTCAAAATACTACATATCATCAATACACTATTGGAAATGTATTGCCAAGTGTTGTTTGTTCAGCAGGCTAGACCTTCAATTAGACTTAGCATGTTATTTCTACTTCCCAAAGATTTCATTCAGTGGGTTAGTGCAATACTCTTCACTTAAGTTACATTGGACGTTAAAGTTTTTTGTTGTTGTAACTTACTTGATCTAATTCTTTCTTTTGTCTTAATCTTTCTGCATCAGCTTCAGAAATAATTTTCAAGAGCTTTCTTTCTTCTTCCTCTTGTTTTTCAATAAAATGCTTTGTCTCCAGAGCCTGTTGTCTCATTTTAAGCAGTTCACCCTGACAGAAATAAAAGAAAGAGGAAAATAAATTATGTTTATAACATCTTTCCACTTCATAAATCTGGAAATTTAAGACTGTTAAAGACAGTCTCATACTCTTACTTGGCTTCTCCTGCTTTATTTGATTCAATTAGCTGATTCTCAAGAACAAATGAGATTTATTAGACAAATGTAGAATGAACAAATGTTGTACTGCATGTCCTACCGAGAAGAAACATATGTGATTTAAGGTAAATATGTAATAGATTCAGATAAATACAATGATCCATCATATGCAGAAATAACCCATCAACTGAAACCTAGCCAGAATTGTTGCTAATGAAAAATATAATTAATATAATATTAATAAAATAAATGCTGTAGTGCCTGGCATTATTTGTAAAATTATAACCATTTAACATTTATTTTAAATGAACAATAAATCATACAGAAACTAATAATAATAAAACTTTATTTGCTCTTTAAATAATGAAGGATGTCAGTTCTTTTAGAAAAAGTTCACAATTATGGCAGCAGTTAAGGTCATGTTTCAAGTTCATACACTATGTTGAATAGAAAGCAATAGAGAACATAAAAGTACCACAATGCACTTGAACACTACTACTCAGTTATAGCTAATTCAATGAGTTGCATGTAGATTATGAACAGTTTGTTGTTATATAGACTATAGCAACTAAAGGCATGCAGTATACAGATGAAGCATGAAGTCTTACAACTACTGTTTGTAGACAAGGAGAAGGAGGCATAAATTACGTCCCTTAACCAGGGGGCTAGTCTCATTTTGAAATATTTAATAATGCAGAGGGGACAAAAGTGGTATTAAATATAGACCTCATTTCTCCAGTCATTCTGCCACATCCATGTGACAATTCTGTGAAGATTAATTCCATTTATATCCTACCTTAGACCAGTCTTCAATTTACAATTTGATATCTACAAGGTGAAAGAAGGTAATCCAAAATATAATCAATTTCTGAGATTACATCTCTGTCGCCTGCCCCAGCACTTGAGTCTGTGTCAAGGTAGATTTCACTGAGTTTATTCTCAAAGGATGATGCAAATTGTGTATAGCAACCCACCAACTATTTCAGCTCTCCTATAAAACATATTGATGAAAGAAATACCACACAGTATAGAAAAGCAACACCACTTCATTATGTGTAGATGAAGTTACAACAATATTTTTGCTGCTCCAGAGCGTGTTTTTAAGTAAGCTTCAATTTGTGCTCAATCTAATGTGTCCAGAGAGGTCCTGTACTTGCACACCAATGTTGTCCTATCCCCTTCATTGTTCTCTAGTAAATCTAAAGGCTGGTCTAGCTCTATAATAGAGAAAACTGTGAATAGGAGCAATAGCATCAACAAGTCAAGCTGTACCTATATTCCAAAGATCAACCAACATTTCAGTAGTATTACCAATACACAAAATAGAAAGCTGCTTACGGACATTTAAAATTCTGTTTAGATGTATTAGGCATCTGACCCGCTGATGTTAATTAATTCTCTACTTCTGTGAAGCAATCAGCCACAATGGGGGCAAAGAGGATCAGCCCGATAAAAGCAGAGATATTGCATCACAAGACAAACCTTACCCCTTTTCAATGTGTATTGCAATGTCACATGCACTTCCAAAAGTAGCAAACCTACTTGACAATAGGCATGTATGTACGACAGCTGCAGCATCCCAGGTTCATGTGATTGATCGCCTATTGCGACCTCAGCTGGCTTCCAACAAGCAAAGTCAATGGGAGAATGCTCAGCGACCATGTGATTCACTTAACAACCACAGTGATTCACTTAACAGTGGCAAAAAGTCCTAAAATTGGATGACTCACTTAACAACCATCTTGCTTAATATTGCAAATTCTAGTCCCAATTTTGGTGAAACGTCGAAAACTACCTGTATTAAGAAATATACAGCAACAAAAACTATAGGCTTGTTTCTTATATTCAGCAAATCTTCCCTTAGTGCAGACATGTCAAACTCGTGATGTCACGTGACGTCGCGCAACGTATCGGGACAGTTTTCCATTGCTGGCAATGGGGTGGGCGCAGCTTCCACGTGATGCGTCTGGCCTGTGGGCCAACAGTTTGACACCCCTGCCTTAGTGAATGCTTGCAAGGCAATATTATCATTTCCTCATATGAAAGTATGTCATCTGCTATTAGAGGCAAAGAAATGTTCTTCCTACTGTACATCTATGAAAGGGAAGATACATCCATAAAACTTCCAAATACATAACATGCAAAGCTTATGATAAAAAAATATCCTGATTCCTTTCCAGAATTTTAAGCTGATTATACAAAAAATTAAAATCTTAAACCCTTATCAATACAATTTTGCCACAGTAAACAGCTATTCTTAAACTTCCAAGAATCCTACAATCAGTGCAGAACTAAACCTATTAATTTGACAATGCATTCAGCAGAAATTCTGTTCATATCAAAGTGCACACCTTCAAGCCAGTTACTAATGGTGGTAGACCACAGACATTTTTATTATTGATAAAGCAGTAAAAGAGAAGAGCAATCAAGTTAATGTCAAATTGCTGGCAGATGATTCCATAATGATAATGCATCAACTCTCAGGCAGATACAGAATCCACATTCTTTACCTTTTTACAAAGTTCTATTGATATCCTGTAATAACAGTAAAGGTGCTGATAAGGACAGAAAACCCCATAACAGTAAATGAACAAAAAGAGAGCAAACCCAAAAAAAAATCAAAAAGAGATTTTTCCTTTTTGTTGAAAATAAAAGTCTTAAAATAAAATGTGCTTAAAAATGTTTTTCTTAATCTTTAATGGAGAAAATTGGACCGAATTCAGGGGTTAGAATCAGGCTGTCAGACTATGCTAAATTCTTTGTCTTTCGCTAAAAGAAATAATTTTCTACTCTTTTTTTTATTTGTTATTTTTATAAATAACTCAAGGTGCTGAATATATGCTATACACCTCCTCATTTCCCCACAGTAACATCCCTGTGAGGTGGGTTCATCTCAGAGAGAGTGACTGGCCCAAAATCACCCAGCTGAGTTTCACGGCTAAGGCAGGATCAAATTCACAGTTTTCCACTTTCTAATTCAAATGTATAGTTTTCCACTGCTTTTCAATAGCAAATTTCTTCCTGAGCAGCAGAAATACCTTTCACAAACATTCACATGGAATTTAATAATTAAAATATTTCATTTCTAATATATTACTTGTAGTAATATATTACTAGTAATGCCATATAGCTTTTCAAAGGATAAGTGTAAATAGTTATCAACATTAAACAAGTCACCTCAAAGTCAAGTGAATGCACATAATCAATTTTTCAAAATCCACAATTTCAAACTTTTTTTATTTCCTGGTTTTGCCTTGTCTTCTATCGGCATTCTTATTTCCTTGATCTTCTTTTCTGCTAAATATGCTCCAAGATCAGCCTGCCATTATTCAAACTATTAGATATTCAAAGGCATTTCTGCTGCTCAGGAAGAAATCTGCTATTAAAAAGCAGTGGAAAACTATACATTTAAATTAGAAAACGGGAGACTGTGAATTCAATCCCGCCTTAGCCATGAAACTCAGCTGGGTGATTTTGGGCCAGTTGCTCTTTCTGAGCTGAACCCACCTCACAGGGTTTTTGTTGTGGGGAAATGAGGAGGAGGAGGTGTGTAGCACATGTTCACTACCTTGAGTTATTTATAAAAATAACAAATAAATAAAAAAAGAAAAGTAGAAAATGATTTCTTTTAGAGAAAGATACAGAATTTAGCATTGTCTGACTGCATGATTCTAACCCCTGAATTCATTTTATTCTCAGTTTAATCTCTTTGGGTAACAATTAAACAATGATTTCCTCAAGCTGTCTTGAATGCATTAGATACAGAAATTTATGTAAAAATTGTTACTTTATAAATAATTGTGTATAAATTGCCAGCAAAACTGACACTATATGACAGCAAGATGGTAATTAGTAACTGAACTGATTATAGGCAAAGCAATTGATAACATAAGGAAGCAGGTTCTGCTGAACTCTGTGGGACTTACTTTTCTGATCACTGCTCAGCATTGTACATATTGTATATACATGTTGTTGAGAATAAGCCAAA